TATATATATATGTATATATAAAATGAATATATACATGCGCGCGCGCGCGCGCGCGTGTGTGTGTGTGTGTGTGTGTGTGTGTTCACGTATACAAGATAATTTAAAAAACAGTTTCAAAATATCTCTTAAACAGTGCATTTTAGAGAAAAATGTTTCAAATGAAAGTGAAATGATTTCGAAAGGGACGTATTTTGGTTATGTTTTTTTTTAAATGGAGATTTCCAAAAAATATGAAGGTCACCTTCATTTTTTAAATGAGATTATCTTTATACATAATATGATTTCTCTAATTTTATATATAAGGGTACAAATCTTTTAATTCTTACATATAAAAATATTAAGGTATAGAGATATCGAAAAATCAATAGTTTAAATTTCGAATTACTTATATTTTATGCTGATACATTTGAACATGAAATATTAATTGTCTCTCGTAAACTATTAACTTTTTGACAATTATACTTTAATACTAACTTTTATATACAAAATATTGAAATGAATCAATTGTAAGGAATTCACCTATTCATCCACGTCGTTCAGCTTGATTCATGTTAAGAAGAGGTATTTTAGAATAGATGTATTCTTCCAAGGTTCACGAAACGTTGGCAATGAATGAAAACACGGCGCTAACCCACACTCTTTTGATATCTTTAAAGAATAGATATATTCTTTACACCAATTTAATTCATCTCAATTAATATTCTGTGCAAAAAAAGTGTTAAGGTACAATTATCAAAAAAGTTAATAGTTTATGAGATATGTAAATATTTCATGTCATGATGTATCAGAATAAAATATAAGATACACTCAAAAGTTTGATTTTTCGATATCTTTAATATTTTTATATCCCGAATAATTAGAGGAATTATATTGTGCAAAAATCATATAATTTCATTAAAAAAAGATGAAAGTGACCTTCATATCTTTTTGACATTTCCACTTGGAAAAAACAACGTGATAAAACGTGACAAAATACATCACCCTCAAAATCATCACTTTCAATTGAAACATTTTTCTCTAAAATGCACTGTTTAAGTGATATGTATTTTAAAATGGTCATTTAAAAAAATGGGATACTCAATATATATATATATATATATATATATATATATATATATATATATATATATATATATACACACATATATACACATACACACACACACACACACACACACCCATATGAGCGCGCACGCACATACAAGTATATATTCATTATACATATATCTGTTAATAATGATATAACATCAATAAATCATCAATTGATAAAAATATACGAAAAATCATCAATTGATAAAAAATAACTTGAATCTGAATCTTTCAGGACTTGTGTAGCGCAAAAACTAGCTATAGGAGAATGTTGATCCCACAAAGACATTTGTTCAGAATGATGAAAATTATAACATATCCAAAATTTAATCAATTAGACAAAAAAGACAATTTCTATAAAGTTGATGTAGGATTCTTTTTATCATTATTCTTCCTTTTTGCAAAATATTTATTTAATCATTTCGGAAGTGAAAACAGTTGTCTTTTAATTTTCACAATCGTATGTCATGATATCATAATTGACATTTATGTCAAATATATCCGGATACACGACGACATACGACATTCATGATTTAACGAGTTAATACACCGGACGCAGGGGCGCTGACTTGTCAATTTGTTATATGTGTGAAGTTGAACAACGTGACGAAAAGGGTAGGGCACAACAAAATTTTCACTATTACTTTCAAGATCTCTTTGTAGACTTTTTTATAGACTTTCATATAAAACTAACAAAATAAAGAACAACGAAATTCTTCTAATAAATTCTTATAAAATTTTGTTCAACTTGTTGAAACGCTTAATTGTAATTGTTGAAAATTCCAAATATTATTTTTTATAATGAATTTATTCATAAGTGCATCAATATCTATAGTCTCAGAATATCAGAATGCACAATATCAGAATGCACAATATAATTACTAAATTCAACCGAACTTGCTGCATCATAGAACACAAATACGTTTTCAACTTTCTCAAAACAGAAGAAAATATTAATTATTATCAACATTAATTATTTAAAAAAAATTGTTCATATATAAAATTCCACACATGAAAAATTCTGATGTACTCCATACATTCCCTACAAAAGTCAGCACCTACGATCAGAGAAGTGCTTGTACGATACTTATACTATTTTCAAAAATCGCAATGTCATTTAATGCGTGTTATCCTATAAAAAAATCTCATATCATATTTTTATTCATTAATAATTTTTCATACTTAAATTTATGAAAATATCTAAAAAGTATCTTCAATTTCTTCAGATTTTGTAAGTTTTTTTGAAAAATTATACAAGGAGTTTACGTGTTAAACCGTCAAACTTAAAATACAAATTTAAGATTTCACAAGAAGCAAAATTTTCCTCTGCAAGTTTGTTCTCAAACGCTTCGTTTAAGAGATATTAACTTCTAAAATCATAAACCTACAGAAATGAATAATATTAAAATATCTCTTGGTTTCACTCTGAAGCAAAAAATGTATGAAGTGCTTGTTAATGATCGTTAAATGGAGGCTAATAGAAGCGTGCGAAGAAATCACAGTCACAGTCAGTCGCCACTTCTCTCATTAATAGACAACAATACTTGTCTCAGAGCTGTAGGTCATCACTTTGAATAAAATGTAATTACATTTCAATTACTGTAAAGGGGATAAACTTAGATTATTTTATTCATTCTAAAGTTCTGTAACTTAAGAAAATAATATCTTTTAAACGAAGCGAGCAAATTTCCAGAGAAAAATTTTATTTTC